ATATATGGAGAAAAAAAGAGATTTCAAATCCTAAAACTAGTACCTCTTGCAATAAATTAACTGGACAGACCAAGTTTTTTCATGTGTTTATAGATCTGCTTGATTTGAACCATTTTTTAGTTTAAAATTTTATAAAAAGATTAAATTAGATCTCTCCCCATTCTAAAAATTTTCGATACCAAAATTGCATTTCATGACAAACTTTGGAGGTACACCTTTCTTTGATTGTTTAAGCTTGCAACCATATGCAAACCACATCTAAAAATACTTAACTCAATTGGGATAGAGAGTATGCCCTAAGATAAAGTTTCTATAATAACCTTACCGTGTACTCACATTCAAAAATCTATTGGACAATGTTGTGTTAATGTTGAAAAACCCTCTAATTTGTCATCTTAACATAGAGATATATGAATATGAAAAAGAAAAAAAAAATAGTGCTCTTGCAACATATTATTTAGATCGTCCATTTTCAATATTTCCATATGTTTGTAGATCTACTTGATTTTTAATCATTTCTTGAATTTAAAATTTTATAATTAGAGATGAAAATAGATTTTAAGATAATCTTAATAATTTTTTTACACCAAAATTACATATTATGATAAAAGTTGGAGGTGCACATTGGATTGTTAAGGTTGCAACCTTAAAAAGAAACCACACCCTGTAGGATACAAATAAAATTAATCACAAAAATAAGAATCAATATTGACAAAGAAACTTTAAAACAGAGCTCTGGTAGGTGCTCCCGGAGAACTAAGTGAAAGGATAAAAATATTAACCTAGCCTTGAGCCCAATTTCAAGTCAATGGCCTTTTGAGAATGGTTTAAAGAATTGGCCGTAGTACCAACTAGCCTGATGAAGTCTATAACTCCCTTATCGCCAAAGATTAAGGGCCTAAATTCCCACTACTGACTCTTTTTTTTCCTTTTTTTTTTATATAACCATTTGACTTACAACTTAACCACCGAAGTCCAAGCTCAAGGGCTCTAGGGACCTAAACACATGAAGCACCTACTACCCACCAAAATATATGGGTTAAGGCTAGGTAGGACTCTCAGCTAGGTCCGAGTCCTGTAAGATAAATACACACATTTAGACCCGACCGGGTTAGGTCCAACCCTGGGACCCAGGTCAATTCTAGCTTGGGGGCAACCCTACTTTTTCATGGCCTTTCTTCAGCCAAGACCTGTGCCAAGTCCATGATAGTTGGCTCAAACCCAAAGGGAAAGATAGACCCAAGCCTAGGTGCATGGCTAAGTTGAAGCTCCTGGCTTCCACCCTATTTCCAAATCCAACCCCATTAAATAACAAAATAATAGGAAAACAGTTGGGGATGGACTGGCTCAACAAAGTATTTATTACGTTAAGATTCGACCTTATCGTGTACGACAAAGAAGATATGGCATAAATAACATGAATAACTGAATCGATTTTGTGCTCCTGACTGACTGTACTGTCTATTTGCTCCCCAAATGAAATTCAAGGTAAGAGTATTTCTAGGACCCCAAATTTTGGGACGCAATATATCGAACCTAATGGCAAATCAATAATAATAATAACAACAAATACTTCAATGCAGACCGGCTAAAAGATTAATGTCAAAATATTGAATGGGGGATGGGTGGATATAAATCTTTCAAAACCCAAAATTCATTTACTTTGGAAATAATTATATGGTGATTTTAAATGGACTTCAAACTTTTAAATCCAAAAAAAGCATCTAAGTACCTTTTTATCATGAGAGAGTTAGTTTGCACTATGCTTCCTCGCGAACATGAATAAATAATTGTTTGAATTCAAACTATGGAGTCCTATCCCATATTTACCTACTACCAAGAAAATATGCAAATTGGATAAGCCCAAGCTCACATTTTTCTTGCCTAGAGAGACAGAATTGTTTCTAAGACTAAATTGTTCTTTTCCTTCCCTTTTTTTTTATTTATTTATTTATTTATTTATTTATTTAGCGTTTCCATATCATGAGGTTGACTAGGAGGCTTCCAACACAATAAAGATGGTGAATGTATTTACATTCGTATTAGACTTCAGATTTGTCTGATTTTGACTCTATGGCCAATATCGTCCCATCCAATCAATGTCTCTTATCTTTTTCATTATTCTAATGACTTTTCTGAAGAACAAGTGGACCTCACTTTGATATAATATTAACCACTTGCCCAATAACATAACTATTATTTTAAATGACATTTCTAAAAGACTACAAACAATATAATTTCCAATACTCTATCTCTCAATCAGGTATGCAGGAATTTTTTTATCAGTAATTCTAGAGACTTAACAAATGATAGATAGTTAACCAAGAACGTAAAAAAATAAAAAATCAAGAGAACCGAGGCAATTACAGGGTTCTTTGAGTTAGAAAAACGCACCTTGTGATCCGGACTCGGACTCGGGCAATTTTTGACGGGGACAATTCTGAATAGGATCGATGAATTTTATTTTATTAATTTTCATCGAGAGAATCTTTCCTGTACCTATTAAAATGGAATTTTTATTTTTGGGGCAAGGACAAGAGAACCAATCAAATTTTATATTCTTCCTAACATCAAGGAAGTTAATGGTGGCTTTTCTTCCTACGTCGATGCATGACTATAAATTCATTTTGATGATATGTCTAAATTGGTTCAAACCAGCTACCCCATTAATTACCGATCCATAAAGAAGGCAAAACCAACGTCTCTTAATAATACAGCTTTGGCGTTGAAAATCGTGTGATGGCATGAAAATCAATTATAACTCCAATTTAAAGCTCTAAAAAGGTGCACAGATCTAAAGAATAAAAAATAGAAATAATTAATTTTTTAAAAAATAATCCATTTTCGAATATCGAAACTAATATTGTCATATTTGCTTTGGAGCCTTTTTTGGTTTGGACAGAAATTCGATGTTGTCCGATTCTAATGAATACGTTGGAACTTTTGAAAATTTTTAAAATAAATAAAGTATATATTTATATATAAAAGTCTAAAAAGATATAAGGACATTTAATAAAGAGAATTGAATGGAGAACCATGATTCATGTAGCCGATCTCAATTAATGAGAAAAAAGCTAAAATGATGATGATAGTAGATATATTTATATATAAAAGTATATTCAAAGAATAAAAATTCAAAAAATAAAATAATAATATTGTCAATGAAAAAGACAATTATGTGCTTTGGCTTAAGAGGCCGAATTACATGGAAGTGAGCCAAAGCACAATGGTATTTTAAAAAGACAATTCGATGCTTCACCGGAAGCTTCAAACAAAGGGGCCAAATTATACCCAAACATCCTAAGCCAGCCCAATTGGACACCCCGGAGCTTTGTCAAAGTGGATGCATCCGAGCTTGGATCGAAGCTGCCGAAGTGGGATGCATCCGAGCTTGGATCGAAGCTGCCGAAGTGGGATGCATCCGAGCTTGGATCGAAGCTGCTGAAGTGGATGCATCCGGGCTTCGCTTTGCTTCGATCCAACAAAAATCCAAATACTTGGGCTTCTTCGGCCAAAAGAGGAGCGAATGTATTTGATCGAAGCAACTTTTCCCTATGGGTTTTCTACATGCACCTTTCTTTAATGAAATAAAAATAACAACTTATGTAAACTTTTTCCTACTATATATGCTACTATCCACAATTGGATAAACCTAAATTTGGCACAAAAACAAGATATATACAAGAACCCCAATAGCAACCCACATTAGCTTTAATCCAAATTTATCCATAAAAAGCAACCAATATTCGTTACATCTTATCTTAATCAACATTAACCATCATTATTCAACCTAAAAAAAAGAATACGAAAATCCCCGATTTTTCGAAATTTATCCATACTACAAAAAATGACCAAAACGCCATCAATCAATCCATTAAATGACGAAACGTTTGTTCCGTTTCTTTCTCTTATAGCCATCATGGGTTTCTCGTGATTAGCGTAGAACCAGATTTAAGGGTATAATAGTAATTTTTTTCGAGGAGTTAAAATGTCTATTCATTTTTCCTGAATTAGTTCCTACAATTTTGGGATTTTTCCGCCTTTTTTTTCTCGTGGATGAGTAAAATGCCAAACTGTCCTTACTGTGTGACTTTAAATCCATTGATTTCAATCTCAATACGTCAGTAGGGTTCACCTTTTGCCGTCAATGCCCTTTTTCTCATCCATTTTTTTTGTCTCTTCTTTTTTATTTTTTGGGTTTTTTTAATCCAATATTCAAGTATAAGAGGCGTATCTGCGTTGACTGTTGTAGCAGAGACTTTTCTCTGTAAAAAGAGGGATTTGGGGTTCGATTCAGAGTGTGTTTTGAGTTCTCTGAGAATTTTTGAGGTGACCCAAGTGATAAACAGAGGAGAAAGAGGTTGACAAGGTTCAACAATGGCGGGTGGTTTTATGGCTGCTGGGAAACCTGGAAGAGCAGAGCAATATAAGGGGGAAATAACTCGTTATGTGGTGTTTGCTTGTATGGTTGCAGCTCTTGGTGGATCTCTCTTTGGTTATGACTTGGGTGTTTCAGGTACAAAAATTGCAGATTTTACAATAAATTGAATGACATTTTTTTTAGTTTTTTCTGCATTTTTTTTGGGATTTTTTTTTTAGTAACTCTCAAAGTTTTATTTCTTAAATCTTAATTCTATTTAATTATCTGCAACTTTTATGAAATGGTGGATTTTGGATTCCCTGTTATCTGTGTTTTGCTGATAAGCTTTGGAAGATCTTTGAGTTTTTTATTTCCGAATTTTGATGCAGTTTTGTTGAATGTCCAGGATCATTTAGTTTCTATCAGTAATTTAAATATTGGCGAGTAGTTTCTCCTCGGTCGAGTTACTTGTGCTCAGGCTCTTGTCGAGCCCGAGTTACCGGAGCTGGGTATCCAACTAGTGATATTAAATAAATAAAAATAAAAATCATCAAAATTCTAAACAATTAGGAATTTATTTGGGATACGTGCTTTTATGTTTTCTGTCATTGGCAAAAGATTGGAAAGTGCTGCGGTCATAAATACTTATTTTTTATATTTTTTTTATCTTTTTTGAGTTATTTCAAAAATACCTCTAATCACAAGTTGATTTTTTCAAATCTATTTTTTGTTAATTTTTAACATCATTTTGATGTGTTTTGCTTAATCTTGCTTTAAATATATATTTTTCTTCTTTTTTTTGGAAATTTTATAGTTTTTATAATTTTTTGGCCTTTTTTTTACTGCGGCAATATTTGGCACTAATCAGGCCAAGTTACTCGGGCTCGGCTGAATAATCGGCTCAGGCCAGGACCAATTACTAGGTCTGAGTCACACTCTAACACTGGTTTTGTGGTTGAAAGACAGTTTTTTTTTCCAATCAATGATGGTTTTTCCCCTTCAATCTGTCATTTATTTGTTTGAATCTGAGGATTTTGGGTTCATGTAGTCATCATGGTTTTCTATTTAGGGAAACTCCAAAGGCGGGGTTTAGGTTTGTTAGAATAGGCTGTTGGGTCACTCTAAATAAAAATGATGTCAAATCTGTGAAATCTTTATCTGATTTTTTTTGAAAAATGGGGGCTTTGGATTCTCTATTTTTCTATAAGTTTCACTTCTTTCCATGTTGAGCTTGAAAATAAGACATAGTGAAGGATTATCATGCGCTGAAATCTAATCAGTTTCTTAGTCTGTTGATTTCTGTTTTTTTTTTCTTTTTTCTTTTAATAACTTTAAGGTTAATTTTTGTTTTTTTTTAGAAATGTAGTTTCTTGAAAGAAAATCGTATGTATAGTAGTCCGAGAAATCTCCATCATTTCTTGGTTTGATGGAAAGTTATAGCAATTTCTTTTACATTGAAGAAAAAGTTCAAATGGAAATTCTGCAACTAATACTTTTATAATAGATAAAAGGTAAAAGTTTATCTAGAGCCTGAGGCTTTAAACAGTCAAATTAGAGCCTACCTCAAAAATTTCACTAGAAGAGGTTGTTTTGATGCCCAAATATATTCAAATTGATCATCTAAACATCAAGATGCATGGACATGAGAAAAAAAATGATTTCGAGTTTAGTATATTTTGTAATGATAGTTTTGGACCGTCAATTTTCAAGATTTTCATGGATATGTTGATCTACACTATTTTTGAAGCTTTAAACTTTATAAATAAAAAAAATCTATTTTAAGGCTATCACAAAGATTTTCAGTATTGAAACCTGGTAGGCTCTAATTTGATTGTTTAGAGCCTAAGTTCTATACAAACCGTAGATAAAAAGATGGCAACTTTTTCTTCCAATTGATAAAATGTTCGCAACAAAGTCATTGCAAATTTTCTACTTTTGTGTCTGATAGTCTCAATCATTCATGAGAATCTCAAAAGCTTTGAAGATGGCTACCTCCTAGTATGGAATAAAACTATCTCTCTCTCTCTCTCTCTCTCTCTCTCTCTCTCTCTCGTACACACACAGACACACAGCTAAAATAGAACCTTAAAATTAAATGTCAACTCATTGATTTTCATCTTGATGCAGGAGGAGTGACTTCCATGGATGATTTCTTGAAGGAATTTTTCCCTAAAGTTTACAGGAGGAAGCAGCTACATCTACATGAAACTGACTACTGTAAATATAATAACCAGCTCCTAACTCTCTTCACTTCCTCTCTCTACTTTGCTGGCCTTGTCTCCACCTTTGGAGCCTCACATGTTACAAGAACAAGAGGAAGGAGAATAAGCATTCTATGTGGTGGCTTTAGCTTTGCCTTGGGTGCCATTCTGAACGCTTTTGCTCAGAATATTGCCATGCTAATTATCGGTCGATTGCTCCTTGGAGTAGGCATTGGATTTGGAAACCAGGTAAGAGTGAGAAAAAGGCACAACCTGTGTTAATGTTATGCTCATTTGGTTTAAATTGAGGCTAATGCTAATTGCCCTCTTGTTCCCACAGGCTGTTCCTCTGTATCTCTCTGAGATGGCACCTGCAAGGATCAGGGGAGCCATGAACCTAATGTTTCAGTTAACAACATGTGTAGGCATCCTCGTTGCCAATATTGTAAACTACTTCACTGAACAAATTCATCCATGGGGCTGGAGACTCTCACTTGGTTTAGCCATTGTCCCTGCAACTTGCATGATTGTTGGGGGCTGGTTCCTCCCTGAAACCCCGAACAGTCTCGTCGAGCAAGGAAAACTCGACAAAGGAAGACAAGTTTTAGAGAGAGTAAGAGGCACAACAGAGGTGGATGCGGAGTTTCAAGATCTAGTTGAGGCTAGTGAAGCTGCTAGAGCAATTAAACACCCATTTAGAAATCTATTGAGTAGGAAGAATAGACCCCAACTGATCATTGGGGGTCTCGGGATCCCAGCTTTTCAACAGTTATCAGGCATGAACTCGATCTTGTTCTATGCCCCTGTGATATTTCAGAGCTTGGGTTTTGGCTCTGGTGCTGCCCTCTACTCGTCCATCATGAGCAGTTCAGTACTCGTCGTCGCCACTTTTGTTGGAATGATGGCAGTCGACAGGCTGGGGAGGAGATTTTTGTTTTTGGAGGCTGGTCTTCAGATGATTTCTTCCATGGTAATTGCTTCTCTCTCTGTAGGCTCAAGTTCTCTCACAAATCATAACTACTAAAAAAAGGTTCTCGCGAATCGTAACCACTCAACAACCTTGCATCTATTTTAGCTAGACGATGAGGATGTCGTAATGCAATGTCAAAATCTAATATAAATTTTAAGATAATGTCAAATCTTCACTCTCTAACTAAAATAGGCAGTATCTATTAGATGGTGTAGATTACTACATTTTGTAATCAATCAGCCAATAAACCAAAAATACTGAATCCCTCTCAAATCGGAGAACCCACTGTGTGTGTAGCATGATGTATCATGTAACCGATTGTGGCTCATTGCACAAATCAAATTGGACTGTCTGTTATTCTGTGTGTGTATAACGCTAATATATGATCCTTTCTTTTGCAGTTGATCATTGGCATTGTCCTTGCACTCAAGTTTGGACATGGCTTGACGCTTCCGAAAGCTTATGGTGCAACCCTAGTGATCATGATCTGTGTCTTTGTGGCTGCCTATGGGTGGTCTTGGGGACCTCTAGGGTGGCTCGTTCCATCTGAGATCTTCCCTCTTGAGACACGATCAGCGGGCCAAAGTGTTGTTGTCTGTGTAAATCTCTTCTTCACAGCTGCCATTGCGCAAGCATTCCTTGCGTCACTCTGCCACCTCCGATACGGGATCTTCATCCTTTTCTCCTGCATCATCGTTTGCATGACTCTGTTCATATACTTTCTTTTGCCGGAGACGAAGCAGATCCCGATAGAAGAGATGGCACTTCAGTGGGAGAACCACTGGTACTGGAAGAGAATTGTCACCACACCTTTGCCATCATCTAGCAAAATTTGAAAAATAAAAATTCTTTTTCATTTTTTATTGAGACAAAAATTAGATGAAAATGATCAATGACTAATTATGAAGAAGTTTGTTGATGTTTTGCATTTACAAGGATGTTCTAAATAAGTGAAGTGAAAATGATCGATATATGACTAATTCTGAAGAAGTTTGTTGATGCTTTCCATTTACAAGGATGTGCAAAATAAGTGAAGTTGCATTTGGTATTAGTTGTAACTATTGGTTTTTGGATTTTTCTTTCAATTGAATGTATTTGCCATAAAGTAAGATTGATGTTCATGGATTTTCTTTTAATGGAAAAATCCATAAACATCAATCCTTCTTATTTACCTTAAAGAAAGATTGCTGTCTAATGTTGATTTTGGGTTTTTTTTTTTTTTTGTCTTTATTCTGTGTTCCTTTTGTGCAATTTATATTAAATCTTTTAACCGGACATCCTTACTGTACGTCTTTGGTTCCTTTTACTGTATGGTTGGCTGCTACTGGTTTGGGTCTCATTTGAGAGTTATAAATTCTTTTGAGCTTTTGTTCGTTTCAGTTGTAGAGAAACCTTTAAATGTATGCGTCATGCCAACACCCATATCATCATTATCATTTTAGCTTTTTCGGATTGCTACCGACCATTTCTTTGGGGTCTACCCTACACCTACATATATTTATTACTGCTATTTCAAAATACCCACACCTACATATATTTATTATATAAAATATATGTTACTGCTATATATTAAATTTTGATAAGAAATTTGGGAGTGCCCTCTTCTTTGTGGTATCACCTAATAAAAAATATTTTAATAAACAAAATATTTTAGAATAGTTTAGTCTTTTATTTTTGTGAGAAATATTTTGTATTACTTTTATTATGCACCCCCCTAAATTTCATGTTAAAATAATATATAAAATCTTGTGACATTATTTCCGGAGTCCCATACATTGGATAGTCGGGAATAATAGTTGTACATATACATTGGATAGTTGGGAATAATAGTTGTACATATTTTACACATGGGTGGTACCAAATAGAAAGCCTCTTTTAGTGTTGAAAAACCTTACAATGGCTTGAAAATTCATGTTCAACCTTAATTATAAAATTTAAAATTTTAAAAATAAGATTTACCCAATAGATATATAAAACCTTTAAAATCTTTAAAATGAAGAACTTTGAAAATATGCACTACTTTTAGAATTTATATATATTTTTTCTTTATATCTACATCTCGAAATCGAGATGATCAATTATAAGTTTTCCGACTTCATAACACTTAATCTAGTGGATTTTTTAAGTGTACCTCACTTCAATAATATATAAACTTTTTCCTATACTGTAACATTGGTTTTGATTCCTTTTTTTTGTTCCCCACTAGTGCTTTGGATCTCAACCAATTTCTTGTAACTTGGGCCATCTAAAATAATATGGTCTTGTAGGCCAATCATATGATATATCTAATTATGGTTTGGCATAGCTATAGTAGGCATAATATTAAACATAGAACATGCTTCTAACACAAAAATTTCAACCATTAGGAACATTAAATTCCCATAAATTCACATATGGAAAAGCATAAAATAAGATCAAGGTCACAATTACTCCTACTTGTAGCAAATGGATGGGATCACAAGTGACAACAGTCGAGCAATGAAAATAGTCACCTTTAGTCATGGATGTGAAATCATAACATACGATGGGGGCATACAATTGATTGTGCTCAGAAATGACACATCCCAACTTCATATTTTGACTTGGGTTGTTTGTGACCTTTGCATATGAAAACTTACGAGTGTTGTTGCACACAATCCCTTTGTATTTATGACCGTGAACTATAGGAGCATAATGTGCAACAACTCCCTTGAACTACATAGCTATTTGGGAGATCTATTTTTATTCAAAGTTGGGATCCATTTAACTATCAATATGTAATCATTTTATGAAGAAAAAATTTAAATTTGAGTTCTTGAAATATCTAGATCTTTCCCTCTAAAAAATAGATGGTTCCTAATCAATCTTTGGATATCAATATATTTTTCAAGCACATAAGAGAGTACCAATTTTTTTTTATTTATTTGAGGGATCATTGGGTTCTAAAGATATCGCAAAATTGCGATCTAACACATATTTCGAACATATTTTTTGCCTAAGGAAATGAATAGATAGTATGCTCCCACGAGAGCAAGAATTTTTTCACCTTATTTATAGACCCCAATCTCAAGAGGATCGAGACTACTTGAGTATGGTCTCAAGTTGTGTTACCAGGATCTGACTTGCCACTTTGGCAAATAAGAGTCTAATCCAATCATAACCAGTCCAGCAAAAAAACTGGTTGACTTAAGTTTTAGCAAATTTAAAAATAAAAACAAAAGTTTAAAGAGTAACATACTCCACAATGGAAAAAGTAACAATTTCATACAAAAAAAAAAAACTGGATAGATAACAATTCCACTAACCCAAGAGCTTGGCCAACTCATCAACAGCCAAATTCCCATGAGGAATTGCATCAAAATGCACCTCCCTCCTCTTCTGAACCTTAACACTACTCTTCTTTCTCTCACTACCCTCTTTAACCTTTCTCTCACTACTTTCCTTAGCTTTGACCTGCACCACCCCCACATTCTCTCTCCCCCTCAACTCACTCCCTCTCTCCTTACCCTTGTTGACCAAAACCTCTCTCTTATTGTGCCTGTTGTGCACAAATACTGGATCTTTTGGAGCAGTCAAAGCCAGCTTAACAGCCCTATCATACACAATATTAGCATCAATATAACTTTTCTCATCTAGAACCACGGCCATGCCCTCCACGACGGCTCGCTCTCTAAGTCGCAAGACCCCTAAGACTGCCATCCTTCCCTTTCTTTCAGAATCTTCCGACACAGTTCCAGGAGCTTCCCGCAACTTCAAAACTGTACCACTGTCATTGCTTCCAGAAGCATTCAGAACAACCATCAGATTGCCTTTGCTTCCCTCCTGGTCCAGCTGAGTTTTGCTTTCGGAGCCTTCCATTGAGACCACCATTTTGCTTCCCAAACCTTTTGGAGTAACTGATAACTCACTGATGCTTCTAGAACCTTCAAAAGAAGCCAGTGTTTCGCTTTCTGAACCGTTCAATTTAACCTCCACCTCACTTCTGGAATCTTCCAAAACTGGTTGGCTATTGCTTCTAGAACTTTCCAAAAGGACCAGTGGGTCAATGCAGCTTCCGGAACTTTCTGGAGTGATCTCGCTACAATTGGCACCACATTCTGATGAGATTGCCAGCGCATCTTGAAAAGTCGGGGTGGGGCCCACTTCAGTTTCTTCTGTTAGCATATTGTTTGAAACCTTAAGCATGCTTATATTATTAGGCTCAATGCAATTTGAATCAACTTGGTTTGGTTGGCTTGACGTAGTAGAGCATTTCTCTGTATCAAGGGCTGAACTCGAAGTGTCGGGATTTGAAATAGGAAGAATTTGAGGATCAGGAGCTCCAGTTTCGGATGAGACTTCTGCGATTTCTAGGGTTTCTGAATCATTTTCCAGTTTAGAGGGAGATGATGTCCAGTCTCGTCCTCTCCACATCAATATATGTTCATTCTCGAATGAGATCAATACACAGGGTACAATGTCCTATAAATCACCAAACTGAATGTCAGCTCTAAGTTCATCTAAAGAAAGTACTGTTAACTTAAGAAAATTACAATCATTAATTTCTACAATGCAGCTAATTTTAAGGAAGAAAACTATAGATCTACAAGAAACAATGGAAACAAGTAATCCCATGGCATGTGTACATGCATACATGTGAATCTACCCATATTGAGGAAAACATGCATGCATGCTCCAATATGCATATACATACATGCAACTTTACGCAGACAGACTAGATGCATCCATAGTAACCAGTTTTTAAAACCACAGACTCAGGCTCAGACTCAGTAGGGTCAGTGCGGGTCACCCAGTCAGACCGATCATATCGAAACACAAAATTTAGGGCTTTGTTTTTCTTTCTTTCTTTCTCTTTCTTTTTTTTTTTTTTTTGTGTGTGAGTGTGTGTGCGTGGGGGGGGGCGGTAAGGGGGGAACTCAGGGGCAATTCAAAGGTTTTCCTGTGGAATCTCCTAACCCCAGCTGACTTGGGCAAGTCCCACACTGAGCTGGTGATTTTCTGTACACTGGCATATAAACACAGATAGATTTCTTTTCACTGAAAACATGGATATAAACATACATATGCACTTACATGGCATGCACACACATATCTCAGAGGAATTAACAAACCTTGAGTTTTGCACCTATCTTCTTGTAGTCACTCGCATTCAAGCCCTGACAATTTATGCGCACCAGCTCACACTCTTCAAAGGCCTCTTTTACATTTTTCACAAGGTCTACATAAACACCATTCTTCGCTGTCCAAAGTACAAATATTTGTGAGTCAAAATGAACAGTTGCTTAACAAAGTCATCAAAATATCTACTTATCAAGGAAAAGAAGAAAATTTGTTAAAGCCACAAAACAATAAAATAAGTGAAATTTGAACTGCTAAGAAATGTGGGAGCATACTCATAATACAAATTTATGGAATTCCTTTTATTTTAATGATAAAAAACAATGGAGTTCAATAATACCCAGTATGGCAGTCAACCAGGTTATAGAAATATTATGAAATATACAGCAAGCTACAATGTTAAGCTAGAATGGTCCTTTTGAAGAACTCACATTTTTATTTGTTCACTTAATAATAGTCAAATCGGACTTTCATTGATCTCGTCTTGGATGAGGGTTAAAAGCTCTTTACACATAAAATAAAGCAAAATTAGAAAGCACTAACCTAGCTTGCATATTGGAGGCACCTTTCGTCCCTTCTTTCGCATCTCCTTTGCCTCTTCTAGAGTCAATCCCTCAGGTACCAGTGGAATCAACCTTGGATACACTGGCGTTATGGGTCTCCAAAGCATAAGAGGAAACCTAGGTCGAAGTCTGTAATTGTAGTTCCTGCCACGAAAAAGGTACAATACCCCTCCTCTCCTGTAAATGATCTTCCCGCCTGTTTTTTCCTGCCAAAAAACGGTATTCTTCTTCATCATCATCATCATCATCATGAAGAGTAATGATCTTCATGTTAATAACTTAATATTAATACCACTGATTGAAAAAACAGAACCGGCCCTGAATGGCCACAGGTTTGATTCCGACTCACCCAGTCGAGTCAGGCAATTACTGTATTGGATCATGCCACAGTTAACAATGAAATTAGAACAAGCTAAAAAACCTTGGAGAAATGAGGTGATTCTGGGTGTTCCTCTGGAATTGCTCAACTCCCAATCATTTCACTTGGGGGATTCCAAGTTGGATCCAGGTTTTTAATTAATAATCCATACTAAAATTTATTCTAACATCAACAATTACTTTCTTAGCATGGGAAGACATGGGGTTGTGGGCGTTGGAAAAAATGTGCAAGTCAATCACATAATACACGTCAAAACTAGAAGTCCAAGTTCTAATAAGAGAGACAAACATCTAGGTTTTTCGTCTAAGCAAAGTGCATAAACAGAGAGAGAGGTGATGTGAAACCAACCTCAAGTTGTTCACAGACATTGTCCATATCAACCGTACACACCCCTTTGCATTTTATCTTGCACGCTCGCAAGCGTTTCCAATGCGCATGAATATTATCCAGCATGTTGTGTGTCAGGCCATCCCTACCTACACATCCGAATTGTGATTAGTAGAAGGATCGATGTGGAAGAGAGAGCGAGAGAGAGAGAGAGAGAGAGCGAGAGAGAGAGAGAGAGAGATACTATGAGAACAAGGACTATGACTTTCTCCCAAAATCTTATTAAACTGGGATGTAGAGAGAACGATAGTGTCTTCCTCTCCCTCTCTCTCCATTTTCTTCTTTTCAATGGTCATGGTGTATTCACCTCTAGATAGTCAAAGGTAGACGCCTTATAGCAAATATTTTTTGAAACTTTTAACCATTTATAGCAAATATTCAAGCCAGATATTGAAATTGGTTGTTTTATTATTCTTACTGATAGTGAACTGAGACAATATCTGTTATGAAAGATTCAATGTCACACACACATTAATATATCATTAGAAGAGGCAAATGTAGATGGATTGTTCATGAACTTGAAAAACATTATCTCTTAGCAAAACCTTGTAAAATTATCATATTCAAACTTTTTCTCTTAATTATTTGCAATCAGTTTCAGCTTTAATTCAAACCATAAGCTTGGACAAAGCTGCATGTTTTTCACAGTCTACATTACACTCCCTATTAACAAGCCCAATTACATTGATCAGTTGTTTGCAAAATAGAGAACTGCAAGAAAAACCTAACCTCTTGAAGTATTACTCTAGCATAAAAGCATTAGAAGTAGGAAAAAATTTTCATGCGGGGCTGGACCGCATGACTACATATGCGATCCAAAAAAGTGTAAGGCATCCATCTTAAAGATGGATGCAACAAGTAGGTGTTCCATCTAAAAACAATTGAACAGTCCAAATGTTTTCTTACTAAAATTATTATTTCTAGTTTTTAAAATTTACTTATTTTTTCATATTCATGATCTCCATGTTAGAGATTACAAATCCTTAAAAATTAAGTCCACAAATCCATCTCAAAAATAGATTTATTAATAGGCCCGCACTTCTACATATGCGGACTTGGCCGCATAGAAACTGGGTCCTTAGAAGTACTTATTTACTACTTATTTACTTGTACACAAACGTTAGCCTAACAGAAGAAATACAAGTAACAACTAACAAAAGCAATACAGGTAAACTCCACCTCTGGCCAAAGACTCTGTGACGCCATTAGCATCTCTACAGGAAAAAGGAAATGGACATGTACTTGCTAAGCTCAACTTTCATCATATAACTTAGCACTGTAACTAACTTAGGGAACGGGATCAGGGCATTGGTCGTTGGGGGGCAGGTGCCTCACCATAACTAATGTCCTAGGCTTCATTCCCACGATTAGCACTTCAAAATAAAAAAAATAAAAAGAAAGAAAGAGAAAAATGCAAAGTACCTTACTCAATTTTCATTTTACCTCAAAGCTGGGTAAAAATGAATTCACCAGTGTTATATTCTCATAGAAAACCAGCTCCTACATTTTCAGCTTATATTTCAGTCAAATTGGAAAAGATAAAAGGAAAACAATTCCTTGCACCATTCGGTTTTTCTTATCAGTAACTTATTGCAACTCATCCATTTAATGGTCTCAATTGAACTGGAATCAACTCCAGATAAACCAACAAACCGAAAAAGAGTAGCAAAAACTACAACAGCAAACACTAACACTAAAATCTTAAAACTCACCCATATTGAGTTGTCTTTTCGACTTCAAGCAAGTCCTTATCAGAGAATTCACCTCCTCAGTAGTCAACGGCTCACCAAGAATCTCTTCTCTTGACTTCACATATCTCGGTCCAGTACCAGGTAAATAGGGCCCAGGAGCTTGAACTGGTTTAACCCCCTTCTTATGGGGTGGTGGTAATTTGAAAGAATCGAATTCAGGTAGCTTCTTCTTACTAGGTGGCAATGGGGCTCTACCAGTCCATGGCCTTGGCATAGTACTAGGCCCAAATGGCATAAATGGGGGTTCTCTTAGAGCCAATGGCTTCACCTTAGGGGTCTCTGTGTAACTGTACTGGAACTCAAATGGCGCGTTCACCAACTTATAAGAAACCCCATGTTCTCCTACTGAAAACCCAGTTTCTGATTTTTCAGAATTCCTAGAGAAAGACCCATGAGACCTAAGGGGCTTGTAAGCCCTAATTGGCCGGAAAGCAGGGTGCTGCGGGTCCTTCTTTGAAGATGAGCTTCTGGTGTCTTTCCTGGGGTTTGATATCTCATTGGCGGGTACATTTTCTGAAGAAAGTTTATGGATTTCAAGGGTTTTAGAGTCCTCCAAAGCCCTAATTGAGGGAAACTCAGTGTTTTGAAGATCACAATCAAAGGAATCACCATTTTCCAAGGAAATTTCATGGTTTTCAGGGGTTTCTGAGTCCTCCGAAACCCTAATTGCAGGAAACTCATTGTTTTCAAAGGTTTCTGAGGAATCAGAAACCTTTATTGCCAGAAATTCAGCGTTTTGAATGTCACCATTAATCACAGAAGAATTATCATCCTTTTCTAGGGTTTCTGAACCCCCTGAAAAACCATAGAACTCTCCAGAAACCCTAATCGGCCCAACCCCACTGTAACTCCTGCCCCTCTTCCCTGCATACCTCCTGAGTTTTTCAGGGCGGGAATACTTCGATTTCTTACCAGGAATGGACGGTCTCGAAGGAGAAGAAGGTGTGCCCGAAGACCTAAAAATGGGATTTGGGTCGTTTGGGTTTCCATCAAAGGGAACATCTGATAAGTTTTCAGCAAGTTGGTCCTTCTTGGATTGGCGAAGTAGGGCTTCCAGCTCTTGCTGGCTTCTTTCATGGCGGATAAAGCGTTGGGCGTTGGCGTTGTTCCATCGGGAGAGGTGGGTTAGAGTGAGGGTCCGGGCGGGCTCCGGTGGGCTCGGGAAATGGGTTCGAGCCGGGGTTCGAGTGGGCTCGAGAGGTGGGCTCGGTGAGAAGATAGGGAAACAAGAAGGGGTGGAGCAAAGGGACATCACTTTTGCCCTTTGATGCACTACTAGTGAGCTTTGACCCCTGCTCAAGAAACAAGGGCGAAAATAATTAGCTGGAAATTATTTAAATGAAATATAAAATGAGAGGGTAATATAGTCATTTTGGGGAAGTTTAGGGGTAGTACAGTTTTTGCGGGAGAGATAATCCAAAGGCCCGCACATGTAGAAATGCGGCTTGGCAATAAATATATTTTTTAAAGGTGCGGTTTGTATAAAGAGCCTAGGTTATAAACAATCAAATTAAAGCCTATCTTCAAATAAAGTTGAAAAATGTGGTTTTAATATTGAAAATTTTTGTGATAGCCTTAAAATATATTTTCATCTTTATCTATAAAGTTTAAAGTTTCAAAAATAGTGTACATCGACATATCTATGAAAACTTGAAAATAATGAAAATTGACGGTCCAAAAATGTATTACAAAATACATTATTTTCAAGACTTGAAATTTTTTTATTTTCTTTTCTTCTTATGTCCATACATCTTGATGTTAAAATGAACAATTTGAGAATATTTGGACATCAAAATAACCTCTTCTAATGAAATTTTTGTGGTGGGCTCCAATTTGATTGTTTAGAGCCTCGGCTCTATATAAACTTTTCCCTTGTTTTAAAATGTAATTTGATCCTGATTTTTAGAGAGTATATGAGTATTTATGTCCTTTTGTTTAATATTTTGTTTTCAAATTGCCTCTATTTTCAATCTTGAAAGTTTGAAATTGGGTTTGGGGTTTTGAATAACTTCGGACTTTCATGGCCTGAAAAAAGTTTATGAGAAATGACATTGAGGATTCAAACCTTAAATATTTAAGTTGACAACGTCAAGCCTTCAAGGTTTGAAGTTGTCTAAAACCGTTGTCAACTCAACTTCAGACATTTGAGGTCCAAAATATGGGCAATTTAGAAAAAAAAGAAAAAAAAAGTATGAACGTAATATTGAAATTTTCATGAAATTTTTTAAACAAAAGATATTCGTGGAAAGAATATGTCTTGAAATTGAACAAAGATTGTTCAATTTCTTAAAGATTTAAGGGTTTGGATACACAAAATTGAAGCTTTCTTTTGAAAATAAGGAGTTAATCTAAAATAGACTCCAAAATTTAGGAGCCAACAAATACTCCATAGTAGTTCTTTTGTTCGTGGGAGTAAGGGTGCATTATCCCCTATGAGATGATTTGAAGAATCACGAATGCAAAAAGTTTAACTTATTTAGAACTTTGGTTTTTTATGTCATACAATCAAATGCAATTTCATTCAAATTTCACCTCATGCATGGATTTTCGATCTAAAATTTCACAACCTTAATCTCGATCATGTAACTTTTCAGGGAAAATAACTTATTTAAAACTTTGATTTTTTATCCAAACTCACGCACTTAAAAAGATACGAAAAAGAAAAGGAATGAAAATCCAATTCTTTTTTAATTTTTTTCTGGTAAGTGGCAAAGATTTCAAGAATGTCAGAAGTTGTTCCTTTTCTTTTTTGTAACTAGGAGATAAATTTAAACATTGGATGTCCAAACCAGTTCTATTTTTGTTTTTTATTTTTTTAAAATTTATTTTTGCTTTTTAAAAAAATAGTAGATGGGTTGAAAGATTAGGTAGTTTGGATAACGTAAAATAGGTATTTTTAGATTTGCATCACATAAAGAGGATTTACGTGTAGGTTTTCCTGAAAATTATTCGTGTTTGTATATTAATGTATTGAATGAAAGTCCTTAGCATTTCGGAATGATCAAATGTTAGTATGCTGAGGAGCTTTTATTGCCCATGTCTAAAATCTGTGGGTTGCTTTGTCTTTTATGGGAATCAAATAAAGTAGATAAAAAAAGCCTTCAAATAAAATTAAGGCTTCACACATAAAGATCAGACTCACTCTTAACTGCCAAATATAAAATCAAATGACTAAGCGTGTCATTGATGGTGCACAATGCTCAATAAAAAATTTCTCAAACTTTGCAAATCATTTTTAGTGCCCGGATTTCAAATTTAATGGTTAATAATGAAAATGACATTTTTCTGCCAAAAATAAATCTCACTATGCATGCCGGGATAGGTTTCCGTTTAATCATATATGTCACATTTCTTTCCAAAATTTTGAGATATTTCAATTTTCAGCAATAAAAAGAATTTAAATCAATTTAAAGAAAAACAGGAAAAGAAAGAATAACATCTCGCCAAGAAAACAAGAAAATTGGAAAATGGTTAGAAGTGGATGGTCGAGAGCCGCCAAAACTACCTGATCCAAAGGTTTCAACCAGTCAAGTGCTGGTTTTGCCCTTTTTTTGTCGAACTTAATACATTGTCTTCATCGGACATGCCAAGGATCCAATCGGATATGCTGAGGATCCAGCCGCCGGTGCTACCAGTCCAACCAACAGTCCGGTCCTATATTAATAACTTTGTATTTGTGAGTAAGAAAAAGTATCTAATGAGGAAAATCTTGGAAAGCACTTGCACCATGCTCACAATTCATCAAGTCAGAAAGATGATGCAACAGGTTTGATTGTAGAGAGAGAGAGGAGTATGAAATACCGAAACACCAGAAAAGAATTTCCAAGCTTGCAAAGAAACGTTCGATAAATGTTCAAGGACTACTTACTTCATTCTTCACTTCTGGTGATTTGGATTGCGCTTTGTATCATGCAATATCAATTATTTGAATTCTAAAAATTGAAAATCCATTGAACTTTGAATCTCGACACAAGTAATCACCAAACCAGTCCATGGAAAAGGAGATGAAATTAGAGGCAATTTGGCTTTTCCATGGAATCAGCGAAAATTTCTTGCTCGAAAAATTTGAACTTCTGCCTCGTAACATCATTGATATTCTTTACATTTTAGTGTTTAAACTTCCTCATATGCTTACAACTGAATGGTTCATATTTGGTCTTCAAAACTAAGTGCCCCTGTTTTCCACTGTTTCGACGGTTCCAACTTTAGACGAATCTGTATCATTTTCCTTGCCAAATCCAAGCTCTGACATGTCTTGCTTTGCCATCAAATTCCTAAAAAAAAAGACGAAAATCAGTGCTTGGAGATAGCAGCCATTGCCATTTCACAGGTTTATTTTACTTCTCCTTCAAGTCATTGAATGTGCAACTGACATAAGCTGACTTTAAATCAGACATGAAATCAGGCACAAACATGTTCATGGAGCTCACTTTTATTTTATTTTTCATTCTTTTTCCTTGTGGGCAAGTAGCAAGGTAAAAATGAAGCAAAGTGGAACCAATTTTGGGAATCAATATCGCGCAATACAATTCATAATGCAGAAAATCAACCATAAGAAAAAATGGAGGAAGAATGACTAGTTAATGATAAGTACATGCACCTTATCTCCACTGTGTTTATACTTGAATTCAAGTGACTAAAAACTCGTTTCATGTGGAAAAAAACTTGAAGTTCTATGAGTTATTCATACATTGGGTGAGTTTTATATATAAAAAACTCAAGTTGCATCCATGTTCGTTTATATATTAACTGGAAAAATAAGTGTTGAGGTCCCCTGTCTCAGTCGAAAAAATGTGGTGCCCCCTCATTTCTCCATAATTTTGATGGTTGAGGAACTAAAAATCTGCAACTCAATCCTCTTGACCCCGAAGATCAAGATCCTGATAAAAATTGGATTTGGAGCCCCAAAAGCGCTCCTTCTTGAATTCCATCTGAACGCGCAGTTTCGATAGTCCATTTCAATGGCACTTAGTTTTCAGTTAGAATTGCACCATTTTAGGAGCTCCAAATCCATTTTTCTTGAGAAAATATGATTTGCAGGGGCTTAGAGTGGTTTTGAACTCTCCAGCTGATATTACCCTATATAACTTGTTATACATTTACAAAGGAAAAAGCTTATATAAGATGACAACCTATATGATAGAGACAAGCACACCTCAGAAAACCCAGCAAGAAAGGTCATTCTGATGCTAAAAAAACCTTTAAATTGATCACCTCAACCTTAAGATATATAATGTGAAGGAAAAAAGGATTTCAAGTCATGACAATGGTGCATCTTGTAATGCATTATCCGGACCGTCCATTTTCAAAAAATTCCATCGCTTAAAATTTGCTCGATCTGCATCATTTGTTTAGCATTAAAGTTTATAATTAGGCGTGACTGTAGATTATTATTCCATCGCAAGGCTTTGTGGAACCTAAATTGCAACCTTTGACATAGTTTTGAGGTGTGCCTTACTTCAAAGGTTGACAGCTTATAAAAAACCTACCCTTTTGACAAATACGTAGTCTCTGTCAATGTGTTAGTATTATGGCATATATCGGATGAGGAGCAGGGATCAATTCCCACTACCAAAACTTTGTATTTTATTTCTTCACAAAAAAACAAAAAAAATAAAAAAAAGAAGGAAAACTCAGAGAGTCAACTAGGTTTTGGCAGTGACCAAGTTGGCCACTGTTCGAGTATTAAGCATCGCTTAAAACTACTTATGAAAGTAAAGTTTTCCTTAATATTTCTAAATTTAACTTGACTAGTGGACTATCCCTTATTTCAATTAATATTTGTAATTATTAAGAAGAAAAATAACTGATGAGGCCCAACTGCCTACACCATATACTAAGTCCAGCTCTAATCACTAGCACTGCTTTCCTAACACTTATTAAAACCTTTGGCTACATCATATTATGTATTTTACGCCGACCCCTAATAGTTGGAATAAGGCTTGGATGATGATGATGATGATGTTATGAGTTTTATAGACAACAAAAACCATTTTAATGAGTGACAAAGTCATACGATTGTACCAGACTGATAGAGTCTAGAATGGGTGAGTTCTTGGCACTGCTCTTGAACCAAGCAATGCAGAATCAGTATTTCAAAGGAGTCAACAACCAACCCACCCGATTACAAATCCCATTAAAATTTCATTATAGTAGGGTTTGCCTGTACCAACTAGCCAAAGGCACCATCAATTTACTCAGGTTGCTTCTTAGGGCCAAACAGTTAATAGGCACATTTTAATATCATGAAGAGAGATTTGCTAGTTGACACAAAACAAGAGATTCGAATAAATACTCAATTCAATGAATTTTGACCAAGCATACATACCTTTCCATGCGGCATTCCAGGTACTTCTTTGATAATTGTCTGCATCTTTCTGACTGATAGTTAGATGACTTGAGGCAAGAAATGTATGCTTTCTTTTCCTAAGAATACCACAACAATCAAATAAGAATATTGAAAGCAAAAGATAAACTTGCACCTAGTGTTTTAAAAACTGCAACGGTTCCAAATCGGGAATCAACAATCCATACAAGGAATCGGTCCAGACCGACCCAGTTCCTTTTCCAAATTGGCAATCAGTTCGGCTCCCATGGACTCCCAAACCAGGCGAGTCTGGTAGGGAACTAGGCAATCCGAAATCAAGACCGCCTAACACGCACACATTATATTTTTATCAGTTGTTTCTTTTTTATTTTTTTCAATTTTTTGATTTGGTTGGATTGGTTCTCACACTAGAGAATCAGAACGATTCACCGATCTGGACCAAATTTCCGAAAGGTCGGTTCACCTAGTCGATTTGGGTTTTCAAACATTGCCTATACCTAATAAAGTAATGATGTACAATGGAAACATGACTTGCCTTCCCAAAAATATGATGAATATCAGAAAGGTTATGCAAAAAACAGAGGAAGATACTACCACGTCACATTCATGTAGATGATCCAAAGGAAATACACCTTTTTCAGGAGGCACAGGCTTCAATCCCCTATTCCCACCAAATGCACCACCTGTATGGTCAGATAAAATATAATTGTTGTATGGAAATGGTTGTTCATGCATTCAGATTATTTAGACAAAATATAGCCACTTCATTACTTTCTTCATTTATAATCATAGAACCTATGCTCAAGTCTCTTAAAACATGCACATTGAATTGCCAAACATTCTTGTTGATCTGTCACATTCAAATGTCAAATTTAATATATGAACAAAATGAACTCAGGAAAGATAAACAACCTGAAATAAAAAAGCCTTCCAAATTTCATTAATTAGAAGTCAAATTCAAATGTCAATAAGTCAATGAGAGTTTTGTGTATAGTTTCAAAAGGCACAAGGAACTGGCTGGTTTCAGTGCATCCAATACACATATTCCTCATAAGAATAAAAAAAAAAAACGCAATATTTCATGGGAAGTGAATAGAACACCAATACCATACACATAGTTCTGATATCATTGCCCAATTATCATATAATCTCAGAGTAAATAACATACAATTACTATATACATCATTGCTTAAGACACATTTCTAGTGTAAGAACAAATAACCCCCTTAAGTAACAGTGTGTTTGTATTTAATCTTCACATTTTTATTTTATTCTTCTTCAGGTTTATACTTGATTGTAAGAAGATTAATCTCCCTCAAACAATCCAGGTGATCCCATCATCTAATATCTTAGGCCTGTTTGGACAGGCCAGATGAAAAGGACTAACACCGATGTTCCACCCTCTCATTTAGGAGAAAAAAATAGTGGAGCATTGCCCACTAATATTCATGGCGAGCCCGTTATGCAACTCCACTTTTTCCAAAAATGGCCCCAACACTGGGAAAAGAGACTTCTTTCCAGATCTCTATTAAACTACCTTTCTCACTGGAGTTGTTTGGCCATTCAAATGGGGCCTTATTTTATTAAAGAACTCAAGCTGATTGAACTCCAAAAAACGCAATGAAATGAATCAATTCAACAAGGATTCTGTAATCACAAATTAGCTTGCTCCATCCTGTCATTCTTCTTCTTCTTCTCCTTTTTTTTTTCTGTTTCGCAGCTTTTCCTTTTTCCCTATTTAGTTTGAGTTCAATCTAAAACTCATTTTAACATATTAAACAACATTATAAAACAGAAGAAAAATAACAAGATTAAGAAGAAGAATATGACGATGATGATAGTGAATAAATTTAACTTCGACAAGGTTCAGAAGCAATCTCATAGCTTATAACTAACTTAAATTAATCCCATGGAAATTAAGCTAATTGTGACGTATTCCACTGACAAATTTTGCCATAATCCAAACAGTAACACAAATCATCCGCAGTTACATAAGATAGAGCAATTATCATGGTATGAGACATAAATTAAGTGAGAAATTTAAAATGCAATAATGAAGAGTCAGTGTCAAACAACTAGAATCATGGATTAAACATAAGTACAAGAAACTAAGAACTATAATCACAACAAGGAGAGCTATTCCACCACAAAAAGAGAGAGAAAAAAAAAAAACCAGAAATACAGCATAAACTGATAAACAAGCTTAAATTTCGTATAATGACTCGAACAAACCCATTAAACCCTAGAGATTTTCAACGCTTAAGCTCAGATGATAGCTTAAAATCAATTAATTGATCAGAGAGAATCTCAGAAAGCGCTAGAAATGGTTTGGGATAAGCTTACCTGCATTCATTTCTCCGTATTTGAAATGAGAATCAAAGAGAACTTTCTCTCTCTATAAACAAAACAAACATCTCACTGTTTCTCACTCTAAAAGCAGCCTATTTTCCCGGCTCCCCAGTCTGTTTTGAACCTTTCCAATTAGGTGCGGTTTGTATAGAGCCGCGGCTCTAAACAGTCAAAGTTGAGCGCCCCTTCAAATAGTGCCAAAAAATGCGGTTTTAATATTGAAAATTTTTGTGATCGTTTTAAAATATATTTTTATCTCTAATTATAAAATTTAAAATTTAAAAAATAGTGTAGATCGAGCAGATCTATAAAAACTTTAAAATCTTGAAAGTAGACAATCCAAAAATGCATTATAATATGCACTATTTTCAAAACTTGAAATTCATTTTTTGGCATCAAATAACCTTTTCTAGTGAAATTTTTGACATGTGCTCTAATTTGAATGTGTAATGAATGTTTAGAACCTCGGCTCTATATAAACTATTTTCTTTTTGAATTTAGATTTGGAAATTTGTTTCATGCGGTAAACATCTAGTTTAAAGATAGATGCAAATAGGTGATCCATCTCAAAACTAGTGTAACTCACAGTCCAAATGTTTTTTTAATATAATTATTACTCCTAGTTTTCAAAGAAAAAAAACTTTCATATTCATGATCTCCATGTTAAGGATTATATATCCTCTAAAAATTCGGATCAAATTAAATTGAAAACATATATTATTTGCCAAGCCCGCATTTCTACAATATGAGGGGCTGACCGTAAATAGATGCCGAAAAGATTACATGCTTCGGGTTGAGCATACTGTCCTTCACTCCTAGTACTGTATTTTTAGGACCTCAAAGTTTGGGGCTGTAACTTTCTTGACCATCCTAAAAAAAAATTAAAAAAATATGAAGTTTTAATGGATGCAGTTTGCATAAGGTTACAACTTTAAACAATCAAATTAAGACGCATCTTTAAATTTTGTCATAAGATGTAATTTTGTTGCCAATTATAAAACTTTAAACTCTAAAAGTGGTTCAAATCAAGTAGATCTATAAACTCATGAAGATCTTAAAAATGAACGGTCTTGATAATGTATTGCAAAATACATTATTTTTTAAACTTAAAATTCTTTTTTTTCATATCTATTTATTTTGAAATCAAGATAATTAATTAGAGGGTTTTCCAATGCCAAAATGACTTTTTTCTTATGAATCTTTCAGGCCACTTTAATTCTACATTTTAAGGTTGCAACCTAATAGAAACTTTTTCCAGTTCTAATATCGAATGTCCAATGGGCATGAAAATCTAGGTGTTTAAAAACTCAAGCTTGTACTTTGTTTGTCTTTTTTTTTGTACTAATCTATACTTGTTTGATGATTCTAAATTGGATTGCAAATTTATTGAGAAAGATCTTTTTCGAGTGGCTCTTTTGTGCTCCCATGGGAGAATGCAATCCGAGCTCATATTCATATTTGTATCTAAATACTCAACTTACTCAATTATGAGTCTTTGTCCTCTCTCTCCCTTTCTTTCTAGACCCCCCGACTAGGCCCTTTCTTCAAATGAAAAAGTTTATTTGAGGCGTCAACCTTTTATTGTAGAAATAAGTCGCCTCAAAAAATGTACTTGAAAACGTTGTTAGGACATAGGGCATCTTGTAACGTATTTCTTAAACGTATCATCTAAATTGTCCAATTCCAAAAAAAGACTCAGTTTCAATGCGGTCAAGCCGCATATGTAGAAATGCAAGCCTATTAATAAATTTATTTTGGAGATGGATTTTGGACTTAATTTTTAAGGATATGTAATATCTAACATAGAGATCATGAATATGAAAAAATAAATAAATTTTAAAAACTAAAAATAATAATTCTAGTAAAAAAAAAATTTGGACAGTTAGTTTCCATTGTTTTTATATGGAACACCTACTTGCATCCATCTTTAAGATGGATGCTTTACGCTTTTGTGACCGCATATGTAGACATGCAGCCTGGGACAATTTTTCTTCTAAAAAAATTTAAATATTTATAGATTTACTCATTCTACACTATTTTTGGACTTTTTAAATTTTTATTTCCAGTGAAAATAGGTTTTTTAAGTCATTGCAGCAGTTTCCCGTACGAAACTACATTTTTTAAACAAGATTTAGAGGTGCGCCTTACTTCGATCGTTTAACGTCCACACGTTATAAGAACCAACCTCATCCTTTATCAAATGGGAGTGTATAACTTTTTCCCGCTAGAGCAAATTGTACATATGTTCTTTCAAGCAAGTCATTCGTTTGGGAGGATTTGTTTGATATGGAATTTTGGTAGAATCCTGTCATAAGTAATATCAGAAAAAATTAAAAATGAAAAATATTCATTTCAAGTTTGAGAGAATCTACATTTGGCCATCCAAAAAATGGACGGTTACACATCGAACAGGTAGAGTGGGCCCCACCATAATGTCAAAAAAGTCAATTCTATGCTGCACTCTACCGCCATCACCTTCCAATCCATTGATCGGATAGTGATTAACATCATGACCATATGTTACTACAATCATGATGATCATGGTACACTTTCCCACATTATATTTCTTGCAATGCAATCATGATGCAAATTACTAAAGTACCCCTGATTGACGCCGAAGATGGAATAGAGCCTAACAAAAAAATACAAATTTTGTCTTCCCAGTTATAAACCTAGAGAAACCTTGTAAGAAAACAGATAAATATATAAAAAATATTTAAAAAAAAAACAATAAGACTTCCGAACAAATACATTCAGCACAAATCACTTTTCTTGAGGATCCTCATGCATGCATGCATGTGATCATACTGATTATTTTTCTCCCCTTTTTCCAATGACTATTTTCTCGTCTAATTTTGAGAACTTAACATGTAGATGTACTTTTTCTCCCTGTGAATCTTTTTGCTTTAAAATGAAAGCACTCAAATCTATGAAGCCTTTGAAGAATGATTGGGAATTTGCGATTGTGCCAAATTTTTCCGAAGAAACTCTGAGAGTTTGGCACTCGCAACACGCCCTCGATCAAGGCAATCAAAATAGTCGTCAACTGCAAACAACAAAGAGAAGCCAAACCATGAAAGCCATTTTATTACTCTTGTTATTTGTCGTAACATAAAAGTGCTTATTTATCTATCTGCTCTAATTTTTATTAAAAAAAATATTATCCAACCTTAACAACCAATCATGTGGAGATGAGGATCATGAGCATCTGATAAATGGGTTAGTCAACGATGGAAACACAGTGGGGCCCTCCAGAAATGGCATGATTTGGATGGTAGGCCCCATTTTTCTCTCCATCATTACTGTTCCTCCAACAATTTGGACCGAAATGATCGCCATGCACATATCCCATGAGGCCAAAAGGAATACAGCATGGACTTACTATTAATTATTGTCAATATACATTTTTGAACACACATCCCATGAGGCCAAAAGGAATACAACATCCACTCGTTGTTTATTATAATGAAATGTATACAATGAGACCATTTACTTTTGATATAAAGACGTCACAATCATCATTGACCATTAGATTTGAAGTCGTGCGGTTGAGGATGTGTCATAGTTTGGATTCAAAGTCAAAAATAAAATTTCTCGATTAACGTGACATTTTCATCGATTGGATTTCACATCTAATAGCTAAAAGTAATTGTGACCTCCTTGTAGAAAAAAATAAATGGTCTCATAGTATACAATCCCTTGTCATAATTATTATATTTACTATTACTACTACCGCGCTATCACCTCTACTCCTGCTACTGCTGCTGCCATGTACTGCTGCTTATATTATTTGCGATGGAAGTAGCAACAGCAGCAGCAGAAAGTGGCAAGATTTTACTTTTATTAGTACTAATACCACAATTACTTCCCATCACAACGATCATCACCATCATCAGTATAGAAATTTATGAGCTCACCTAGCCAGAAAGGGAAAAAACATGAATATATGTGGGTTTCTATATATATGCATATCAATACATGTATAGAGATATCAAAATTGTTATGGTATGGTCTAAAAAATAATCAGTAATCTGATAATGATCTTATTTCTTCGTAAGGATACCTTAAACACAAATAATCAAGAGTCTGCAAGTTTAACGGCCAGAAAAAGGGCACTAGAGATGTTAGCAAAAATCAAGGGAAGAGGGCATTTTTTGAAATGAACTGGATATATGCAAAAATAATACCTAGACTGAAATCAAGATTTTTAATAGAGTCTACAAGTTTAACGGCACAAAAAAGGGCACTAGAGATGTTCGGAAAAATCAAGGGAAGAGGGCATTTTTCGAAATGAACTGGATATTTGCAAAAAGAATACCTAGACTGAAATTAAGCTTTTTGATAGAATTCCAGTCCTTATTGTCATTCACATCCAATGAAACAGTTATGTCGAAGTAATGCTTATACAAATTTATAATAATGACGATTGCAAATTATCCTAAACTTTTCCTAAAATGGATGCTCAAGTGAGTGAGTGTGTGTGTGCGCTATTTGTGGTGGAGAGAGAGAGAGAGAGAGAGAGAGAGAGAGACAGAGAGAGAGAGTACATGTTATACCTGACATTGCACCATGAGTAACAGAGGTGATGATCCCATGTTCGACTGGTTCACCTTCAATAAGTGGAGGAGTTCCAGGCAAGACAGCCAAGGAAGAGTTTGGGAATACCAAATAAGCAAATGCTGGCATTTCCTGCATAAATTATGAAAGGAAATAAGTGGAATATCTTTGTAGTTGTTTCCTAATTCTATCATTTTTCTTCTTTTTTTTCTCTTATGGAGTTATGTCCTTAGGCTGTATGCTTCCTTCCTGCTGATGAACCTTTCCACTTACTAGTTATCAATATAGAAAAATAAAAATGGAATTCGAACAAAAGGATAAAGAAAAAGCCTTAGAACTCTGAAAATCAAACTTAATACATGGCCAACATACTGTTATTTTCCTTTGCACAAATCCAAAATTAAAATTATTCCTAAATTTCTGAGTTTCAAATTTCTAAATTTGTATTTTGTTTCTCAAGACCAGTACCTTCCTTTTGGTGTTTCCCTAACCTTACAATTAGAAAACCTTATAAGAATACTTAAGTACGCTGAAGCTTTCACTAGAGAACATCATATAACGCAGGGGTCTTATCCATTTAGTTCATTAAGAATGAATGTGATCTAGGCCTTAACAGTCAAGTCGTGGATTTGCAAAAAATGTGATATCCAAATCTAATATACTACTACAACAAAGTACTTTGTATAATAAGCAATCGAACAGAATACAGATAAATACTTCACTAGAAGCATCCCACAGCATGTGAGAGCTCATGTTTATATGCAGTTGTACATGACAAAATACGATAATAAGCATGTTATTCTATAGAGCTAAATCTGTGTCTACATGTGCATTACTAGTATGTAACTCTTCCTCCCTCCCTCCCTCTCATTTCATCGTTGATCACATTTTTTCAAGTATTAACACTATAGCCTTTATTGTTATGGAAAACTAAATGAGTCAAAATACGAAGTTGGATTTATAAGTAGTTTCTTAAATAAAAGTTACACCATTGGGTGAGGCATGAGAGCGTTGGCATTGCACATCATATGCCAAAGACGATGCTGATCATGCAGTTGGTTACAGCCCTGAATCAATCAAGTTATCAGTATTTTTGTAGATGAGTTTTCAATGCAATTATTTATGCCTATTTAATTCCATTTGTCTGAGTACTGAAATGTGCTCAGAGGAACCACCAAACCCCTCTTCTAAGGAATGTAATTCCCTAAAGGATCAATCCAAGGAGAATTCACTATAAAAGATACATAAAACTAACGTTAAGTAAACTGCAACATGACAAAGAGAAAAAGAAGTAAAACTACGACAAATCACTATGTTTAGTTGAGAGAAGCAAGCAAACTACAATTGCACAAAAAACCACATTTATGAAATAAATAGAAAAGCATTAGTAGGTCATTGTATTTTGATAATGTTTAATTACTATGATAGGTGATACGTAGAACAAAGAACATTTATGTGATAAGTTATCGAACGGTATTATACCCCATCTTGGAGAGAGAGTGTGAGAGAGTATTGCCAATGAATGTTTCATACAGTCCAGTGAAGTCATGGCCTTTCCGGCAGATCCCACTGTCCCTCCATCATAATCCATCATTTCAATGGACAGTGATGATCCAAAGGACTTCAACTTTTCCATATTCCATTGCATTTCAAGCCAGTCATGGTACTTTGTTACTTGGCAATTGCCATCTATTGGTTTTTGTTAGAAACCATAGTGCCAGAACACCTCATTGGAAAGTTGAACAAGGGCTGTGACCAAGTTCCAAAACTCATCTTAGATAGTTCCAGGGCCTCTTCTTACCAGCATTATTTTTGTATAAATCTTTCTATGCAACAACTCAAATAAATTATTGCATAACAAGCTACAAACTCAAGTTAACCGGAGGGAATGCATATAACAAAAAATTCAGAACAGTACCTGTTCTTCTTGCTTGGTGGGATCTAAAATTATTGACCCGCTCTCTGTTATACCACAGCAGATTGCAACTGTAAATTAATCATGAAAGGGTTATTAATAAACCACAAAATTTGAAATGACAAACATAACTACACTGATAAAGATTATAAATGAAAACATCAACATTAAGAGAGGTTTAATTTTAACTTACCAGCAAGGCTTTTCAAAGGTATCCCAGCATCAACAAGGGCGGCACAAGCAGCATTTATGGCACATGGAAGGAGCTAATAAACTGTCAAGGATATGGACCATGGACTTGGAGTATACACATTGAAGGTAAAGCAGTTTTTGTGAAGTGGGATGATAAGCATAAGAGCAAGTTGAACTACTCAACCTAGGGTAAACTTTTATTTGGTGAATAGCTTTTTTAACCAACATTATGTGGTGCAAAGTTGGGATGAAATATTTCCCTAGGATACACCGAGCAACTTTATGTACCAGCAACTTCTAAACATATTTGAAAAGATGAAGTAAATAACAAATCATAACAGCAAGTGCATGAAAGTAAAAGGTAAATGAAGTACATATCAAGTATATAGTATGATGTTACTGAGAACTTCATTTTCCTAGCTTAAAAAAAGAAAGCCTCAGATAATAGAGAGAGAGAGAGAGAGAGAGAGAGAGAGAGAGAGAGAGAGAAAGAAAGTGGCCACTTAACATAAGAAGATGCGATTAGAGGACAAATTCAAATAAAACATTTGAACCTTAGATGAGCACATGCACAAATGCACGTAGTCTATGTCCTAATTTTTTCTCTGCGGGTTGGATTTGGTGTTGAGCCAATTAGGTCTGGCTTGTAACAAAGCTTCAACCTTAAAGCGTTTTGCCTCTCATCCGAACCAGGCTAGAATAGCTCATAGTTATCTAGTTGTCACTCAAAACAAAGTGAGCTTTCATTATATGAGGCCAAAGGTGTTCATAAGACATTGACTCTTGGCTTCCCTAAATCAACCGCCGCCCCATAGAGCAAAACTGGTTTCACCGTCATCCTATAGAACTTGCCATTCAGCCTCATTAGTATGCGGCGATCACATAAAATTCCAGTTGCACATCTCCACTTCACCCACCCAGCTCTAATTTTGTGTGCGACATCTTCCTCGATCTTTCCATTTTCGTGGATTATCGACCCAAGATATCAAACGTGCAGTCTTTTTTGTACTTCCTAACTGTCAATCTTAACTACTTTCTCGTCTCTACTTGCACTCCATATGCTTTGTCTTAGTCCAACTAATTTTAAAATCTTTGGATTCTAGAGCATCCCTCCAAAGTTCTAACTTCAATGGCTTCCCTAAATCAACCAATTACTTAAGTAACTTAGTCACTCTGTCTATCTCCAATGAATATCCGAATCTTGAAAAATTGGATCATCAAAGCCTTCCCACACAACATCTAAACCAAAAAACTACACCTCCTCCCCCAATCATTCTTTAAAATCAGCTTGAACCAGTTGAACAGGTGGTTATACCCAGACTGGTACGCAAATACACATGCGTGCCCTTTGTGACTGGTCTTTTTCAATAAAGGATAAATGTAGTAACTTGATTTCAACCAAAATAATTTCATGGCAACTAAAGTAGCCAAACTAGATGATAAAGACAACTGAAGCAAAATATAGCATAGAAGCATTAAAGTTACTGAAAAATCAAGAGGAACATTGAGGTAAGATAAATGCCGATAAATGGAATGTTAATGGCATTAAACGTTTAAAGAAGATACAGCCCCATCATCATGCATAACCTGCAAAAGACATACACAAATCTTGAGAAAGAAATAATGGTCAAAATGCAAGAATTTTGTGGGGGCTTAAGTTATAAGAAAAATAGAGGCACTCTAAATGATATCAAATTCAAGTAATAAATGGAAACCATAAATTTGCTATAATAAATTTATGGGATGGCTCTGGCAAACATCTAAACATGAAGCTAATTATTTCCTGAACTAGAACAGGAAGATAAGAAAATCAAATGACGGAAATTTAAAAATTCAGCACCTCATTAGAGGCATGGGGTTCCATATACTAAATTGAAAAATGTGGATTTCTAGTTAACAAGTTCAGACAAAGGGGCGCGGATTGAACATTACAGGAGCCAAAGTGTAAAAAATAATTGCCACCAGCATTTTTAAATTTCACTCCAACTTGGACTAACCTGAGTTACTTGGGTTAGGCAGGGTGCTGAGCCCAAAACCCCCCAAATTTGAAGGGTATATAATTGTTATATAATTACTTATAATTTATTGATAATTGATTTAATATTTGATTAAATCTATTATAACATAACTAGGTTTATTTATTATTTATTGTTACATGTTTTTTATATTTTTCTATTTTTGAAATTTTCTCTTTTTTCTGAGAAGATATTTTCTACAAGATTTTTTTTTTCAAAATTTCTATACTTTTTTCTATGGTTTATCACTTGTTTGTGTTTTTTTTTTTTTTTCTCATTATGACTTTCACCTGTTTCTTATGATTTTCTTTAGCTTTTTGAGGTTTTTAGTTCATTAAGCTGCTCAACCCGTACTTGGGCGAGTCAACTCGGACTTGCCTGAGTAACTCAGCCCAACCAAGGGCCAAGTCATGTGCCTGAGCCGAGTTGTAAAACACCGACTACCACAAAAAGTAATGACTCATAAACTGTAAAGTGTAAATGCAAGTTGATCGCTAGGGTCAGAGAAGTAGAACATCTCCATTTAGTTAACTTGATCCAAAATGTAAAATCAAGTTGATGACCAGGATTCAAAAAGAAAGGCCAATCCACATTAACTCTTAATTGACTCTATGTTCTTGAACAAAATCAAAAGTTTCTGGATAAGGCTAAAAATATAAATCAAATTTTTATGAGAACAACAAAAATCATAACACAGAAAAATTTTGAAACAAGGAGCAATGCTTATGACAACAGCCCCAATTTTTCTTTCTTTTTCAGGATTTTTCAGAAGTTAATTATTGTACATAAGAGTCATATTTTTTTTGGCAGAAGAGCCGGCATGGGAGGCAGGTAAGTGACGAGATATCAGGTTACAATGCATTTACCAGTCCCATAAAGCCCTCAATAAGATCCAATAAACCAAGATATAGCCACAAGTTTCTCAGTTAATCATTATTTACAAACAAAAAGAAACTGAGAGATGTCGAATTGGACCATATTGATTGACCATATTACAGTCAACAAATGCATCACAAACAGATCTTAACAAGTGTAAAAGGAAGAAATTAGTCGTTAAAACACTATATTCTAAATTACAAGGGGCTTCTGTGATATACAGCAAATGATTCAAAATGCTAGAAAGAGTAATACCATGTTAAGGAAAGTAATTACATCCATATCCATCTGCAGTGTCCTTGAGCACATATAAATTCCAATTATTTTCATTCTTGGTAAGGATTACAACGCCATAATTCCACTAGGCTATGAGTGACACCATTATTCCACTAGGCTATGAGTGACGTAATTTATCCCAAGCCGAATAAAGGAGGAGGGTTGTGTTAAGTATGGCAGCCAGCATAAAACTTTGCCACATCCTTCCATGAATCCTGAACGTATGGTCTGACTGAGGGTATGACCTTTGATTGAGAAGAATGGTGGAAAAAGATTTGTGTAGAGGAAACCCCAAATAGTAGGATAAGGCTCGGATGATGATGACGATGGTGATGATACTATCTTATGATAATTCTATCTTATCTATGTACCATAGGAGGCAATTGTATGAGAAGTCATTTCATATATAAAACATGAGAATGCTGATATACACCTGTATTGAACCTTTTAAAGTTCAACAATCTTGATTAAGCTGTACCTAAGTTGTTTAAACCTTAGGATTTCATTAGGGTACATGAACAGTGTTAGCCTTAAAATACCTACTCATGGTTCAGGCTTCTCATACAATTCAGTCTCTATTTTATATTTCATAAAGCTAATATAACATAAAATTCATAGGTGATGAAATTGATGCAAACAATTTGCCACATAATTTATTTCAAAGAGAGAAACAACAACCATTTCTGCCTCACCTGAATTATAACAGATGTAGTGGTATTTGGGTGAATAGTTGACAGAAAGATGCTCTGCAATGTTCTCGTTAATATCATCTCATACTCCCTTTCTGCTTTGCCTAAACATTTATCAAAAACCTTCAAAGGTCAGAGAACTGATTGATACAAGGAAAAAAAATGAATACACGTCTGGTCTTAACTACATAAAAAACTAAGCAAGGCATGTGAAACATTAAGTATTCTAAACCAATAAAACTACAAAAATACTAAAAATGTCCAAGCTACAACATTACTTTCAAAAGTACAAGGATGCTAGCCATTTATGCTGAATTGTCAAGAAAATATGTGACCAGAAAATGTCGAGAAGAAGTAAGGGAAATGACAAAAAAGAGAATAAGTCAAACAAAAAAAAAAGAAACACAAAACCATGAGAAACTTACCAATTTGTCCTGACTTGGGCTTCCATAGCACCTCAATGGAAGCTTTTTCTGGACTCTCATTCTTCTTCGATCCAGCTTTTGGGCCATAAACAGCAGCCAACACAATTGTATCCCCTGAAATTCGAAACCCACAAGGCCAAAAGGTGATTTTTTTTCTTCTGAAATAAGACGCCATATGTGAACTTTTTCTTGTGAAATAAGAAGACATAAACCCAAGTTTCAAGATCAAATCCTAATCTAAAGTGGATAAATACTCCCTGAAATCAAAACCCATGAGGCCAAAATTTGAATTATTTTAACCTGAAACTTTGTTAAAAAATTGGTCTTGAAAACCACGATTTCAATGTCAAAGCCCAGCTTGAAGAATGACAAACATCCCCTGAAAACAAAACCCACAAAGCCAAAACTTAATTTTTCTTTTTTTTGCCTGACACTCTGGCCGAGAAAACATCAACCTCAAATCCCAAATCAAAAAAATACCAACTATTCCCTGAAAATCAAAACGCACAAGGGTAAATGATGAGCTCTCTGATTGGGAATCCCTTTCTCACAAAAATCGAGACCAAATCTGGACAGAAAACTTACAAATCAAAATCAAAGAAAACAAAGAAAAAAAAAAATAAAATAGAAGAAATGGATGGTTTTGGGACCTTGACACCAACGTGCAGAGCCATGGGGCCTAGTTAACACATTGCGTGAGCAAGTGAGAGGCCTCAGCTGGTTTGGAGAGCGACCATCAACCCTAGAATCCTCCATTAAAGCCTGGTCAATATGCTCCAGAGAAGAATTTTTAAATCCTGGCGGGAAAGAATTCGGATCAACGGCTAGATTTTGAGAAGAAATAGGGTTTAAGCAAAAACCGGTCTTAAAAACCCCAGTATTTGCACCCCATGCTGTCACGTATAACGTCGGTGGAAATAGGAAATAGCGCATATATCATACTCCCGCGGGAGCATGCCTGTACATGAATAATTTGGCAGGGCCAGAGTGCACTTCTCTCTTAACTATATATTAAAAAAAAAAAAAAAAAAATAGTGCACTTCTCTCTCACTCCCATGGAATTTAGGATGATTTTTATTTACAATAAAAGCTATTCAATAAAATTGTTTAAATTTAAGGATCTATGTTTGCAAAAAGATGAAACTTTAAAAAATCGTTGACTAAATATGCCGAATGGGCGAATATTTCTTTTTCATTTTTTTGTTGTTTAGGTTGTACTCATTTTTATTTAATATTTTTGACAGAGATATATATTACCTAACAGAACAGAAAATGTTAAGGTTTTTGAAAACCTCCTTTATCTCTTCATTTTTTTTTAAAGAAATTCATCAAAATTTACCAAAGAGATGAACGGTAACATTTTACTTGTTATTTCGGTATATTTTCGAAAAGACCATCAAAATACACGTTATAATGAATTGGAATAATAAAAAATATTAAAAAATTGATAAATTAGGCTTATTTTGTAAATTCCATTTTTTTATTCCATTATTATTTTTATTTTCATACATTTTCCAATAAGGATATACTGAAAATCTCAAAATTCTCACCCCAAAAAAAAAAAAGAGTTAAAAGTTTAGAAAGACCTCGTTTCTTCAGTTTTCTGTTTATGCATTTGTTACTTTTAATTTTGATCTTCTACTGAGGAAATTTAAAAATAAAATTACTCCTCCTCAAATAATGAGATTTTAGCAATGGGACCAACTTTTGCAATTCCTTTGTGGAACAAAAGAACATAGCGTCTAGTATTTTAAAACCTGACGATTTCTCATCCAGAATGTCGATCGATATGGAAGCAGTCAGGACCGAACTGGTTACGAGAGGGTGTGGGCCTGGGCTTGGTTCTCCCAAAACCATGATCTCTATTTTTTTACTTTTTTTTAAGCTAGGCCAGGTTCCCCTCTAAAACCCTACTATCTATTTCTTTTTTCTTTTTTTTTAAGCTTATGTAATGTTTTCTAAGGTCCTTTCTAAAACCCAACCCTATAAAACCCTAATTCTAATTTTTATTTTATGTCCTTTATTTTAAATATTATTTGGATCACTTATGCGGACCGATCCATACCTAATCCGGACTATTGATCCAATAAAGATATGTGAGTGAACAATCCACCCCACCGGAGCAGCTTTTAAAACGCTGATTCTATCACAACTTGTGACAAGTTCAACCCAAAGTAACAATTGTGTACTAATTGACGAATTAATTTATTAGAATACTAGTTTGCTTTATTGTAACTGACTTCATATTTCTAGAAATGTGTTAGAGCAAACAATGAGACATATCTTAGTTTGGGTTAGGAGGCATCTGCATGCAAGATTCTGTAATAGGAAGGGTGAATTATCCTAGAATGCAGTGATTGTATTTTCATTTGAATGTCATTTCAATATGCGCTCACGGATGCAAAGGATCCACTGTAAATTCAAAGAGTCTTAAATGGCACAACAGGGGTGCAAACAAATCCATTGAAAGTGCCTCATGGTAATGCCATTCGATTTGTGGGTGCTGCAACAGTGCAACTTCACAGTGAATAATACTGCCACAGATCATCTTGCCTAATTTGGTGTAAGAAAATACAACCTTGTAGATGCAAACCCCTTAACATGACATTCAGTACCACCACAATGAAATTCAGGATTCTCAAGCTTCAATGCTTGATTGCAATAGTTAATCATTGGCATTCATGAATACAAAATATTGTGGACTACATGTTTGGAATATAAAAAGCGCCCTTCCAAGAGTCAATTAGGTTATCCTTCGAGAACACAAGTCAAAATCATTGCCACACGTATATTGTATAATTATATCCAAATAATGAAACTATTGGACAGTGGACATGAGAAAGATCTTGGAAAATTCGTAGAAGAAAGTATGACAGAGGAAATTGATGATGATGAGGAAATTCATATACTGAATCTCCAGCTTTCTAAACCTCTAACATCTCAAAATAAGAATTTTGTTTGTATATTATTGCAAGCCCAAACGTGGGCCAGCTATAGGAATCAGAAAGACTTTGTATTTGAGCATGTTTTAGTTGATTATGTATTAAAACTAGCTTTGAATTTGTTATCTATTATATCGCTTCTCATCTTTGATTGAGAGCAGAAATCCTCAATTTACATGTACATTTGGTAAAATATTTCACTAGGTTTTTTTCTTAATAAGAGGGAGAACATGTAAGCAAAAGGATAACTACTTCATAGTGACTTGTCCTTCGTTCGAGGGGAGTTTTAATCAGAATCATGCCATTGAATCCTAGAAATTCTCACATGGTGTTGTCTGGCACTCCATTCCACATGAGGGCAACTCTCCACCCATTACTCATTCTCCCATTCGAAGTAATTGAAATGCAATATAACGCAAAATTTCAACCATTTTCTGATGACTTGAGCCATCTGTTTTCTTGATATTACTATGGATAGGCTATAATTAAGTCTCATTATTATACAACAAATCTTATCGAATAAGTATTAAATGAAAGGCTAAAACCGACTGATTCCCAAAATCTCAGCATTCCATGACCAATCGAACAAGCTGTTGCAAAAAGATTGCAAATAGGTTATCAAACAAGATGTTTTCTAGATTTCGGTCTCCAACAAGTTACCCAAAAACCCTTATTCCAGTGGTTTTCTGAAGCTGTGCTGTCAAACATGCCTTCTGGCTTTGTGTTAGATTCTTCAAGTTTGATATATTTGACATTGGGGACAGAAGCAGGGTCAGATATGGCAGCTATTTGCTTTTTCTTGACAATGGTTGAAGAGAAATTGAACACAAAGCCTAATGTTTTGGAGGCAGTGTGTATGTGTGTGTGTGTGTGTGTGTGAGAGAGAGAGAGAGAGAGAGAGAGAGATAAGATTCATAGAAGATCATGTAATAATATTTGAAAACAAATCAGTGTCATCAACTCAACCCATTTCCATTCAACCTATATAAGCCTCACTGTTACTTCCTAGAATGACACTAGAAGCCACATAATGCAAGCTTTTCCAAAGCACCTCCACTTTGTCAAAACGATTCCAAAAGAGAAGACATTTAGAGAGACAAAATTGCAGTTCTCTACTGCCACTATTATGCCTTCTACAACTTACAAGAAAATCGGTACTGGTGATAAGACTGAACAAAAAGGTGCCGTGTCACCATAGAACACCCAAGTAGCACATTACATACAAGAAACGAAAGGCCAAAGAGAGAGAGATTCTTCATGTAGTAAACATAGATTGCAAGGAGAATAGTGAGAATGATTATGATAATCCAGATACCCAAATCTGCAGAAATATCAAGGCAAAATCAAATTCCTTCATCAAAAACATAGTAATACGAATCATAACAAAATAAAGAATGAATAGTGAACAATCCTTTGTTGATATTATAACCTTCATTAATAAACAGAGATTTCAACATAATCTTCTTAATTGTTTAAGGAAGAAATTCCATCACGCAACAATGAATATAAGGTCTAGCATTGTAACAGGCTAAATCCATACGTCACATTAGCAAATTTTCTTTAATTTTCTTTATTACCTGAAAAAGAGGGAAAAAAAGGTGACAGTATGAATCAACCTAATTGATACTATAACACCATTTAGGAACTATTTGTACAATAAACATATCCAAAATACAACTGAAAAGGTCACCAGTTTGAATGCAATAATGACTACCAAAGGATGATTCTCAGTGAAAGCCTTAACATTTTGCTGATGATGAGTTCACCAGCATGGTAACCTCCAAAGCACAAAGAAAACCTTAGACAAAATGGGTACTAACAATGAGAACTCTTGGAGAATATGACTCCAAACACAAGGCCCCTTGGGTGCCGACTGACATCCTATAAGGTTCGACTGTTGGACAGGCCGCAGATATGTCATGCTCTCATGCAAGTTATGCAAAGCCAGAGAGTGAGGAAACAGAGCAACTGACAAAAGACAGGTCCAAGAGACAATGTTGGAGAATTCGGGTGAGTCAGCCAGTCCACTCAAACTCGCCCGAGCCCAACATTTGGGAAGTGGCCAAATTTGGCCGGTTCCTTACAGTTTAGTAGGTTTTTTTATTAGACTTGGCAAAGTCTCTGCGAGACTCTATGTTCGGTTCCGCACACCCTGTGGAGCCCAAAACAAACATATGGAACCAGCCAACTTCTGACCCAAGTCATTGTTATCCACCACCGCTAAGAGGGCACCACTAACTATGACAACCATGATTAGGTGGTGTGCTGCTTAATCTGAAGATAAGTAGTCATTGTGCGCATATAGTATGTAATGAAAGAGAAGAAAACTCGCAAATTGAATCAAGCAGAGGACAGCCATAGATACTGGAGCGAACAGCACACTGAAGAGTTGCAATACGAGAAAGAGCATGGCACTACCAAGCAGCTATAATTTCTCTATCTACTTTCACTCCATTCTTAACAAAAAATAAATCAAATTGAACACAAGAACTGCCGAAAATCACGTCAATTGACATGAAAACTCAGTCGGAGCTAAGCTACAAATACAACACCAAACCTTCAAAAGTTCCATGAATTCCATGAAAATTACATCTGCAACAATCAAATCAACAGCGATTTCTAGCAAGGCACACCGAGGAGGAGTTGTCATATGGGAAAGAGCACAGTACTACAAAGCAGTTATACCTTTTTTTATCTAGTTTCACCCCATTCTTAGTAAAAAAACGAACCAAATTAAACAAAGAACCACTGGAAATCAGGTTATTCTCCACGAAGACTACGATGGATCAAAGCTGAAAATACAAGCATTAACTCTTCAAAAAGCCATGAATTCCCTGAAAACACATCCATAAAAAGATCAAATCAAATCAAAACAAATTTCATATGAAACAAGATGGATTGAGTACCTGGTAATAAACACTTGTATAACAATGAAAAGAGGGAAGATTTCGCGATACTCTACTTGGTAAACGGGTCAATTATTCGGGTCTTTTTGAATACTTGAATCAATTTCTCTGATATAATAAACACATGAATTAGCCTCTGAATTTTATTAAATCAGCAACATGACGTACTAAAAAGGAAGAAATTAAAATACATAAACTCAGTCTCTCAAAGATGGATACTCAGAAAAGTGTCTGAATAAAAACCTAAAAATTTACCAAACCCCAAATGAATAAATTATTCTGAAAATGAACAAAACATTCACCTAGGGTTTCATAAGAGCACCATTTTCATGACCTAGCCCCTATTCTCCTCGAACCCACAGTGAAACCACTAAACCTAAATCCTCCAGTACAATCAACAATGCTAAGGACACATATAGAAGAAGGATAAAGCAGCAATTTTTTTGGTCGGAAACTAAAAAGCATGTTGATGTTGTCTCTGCAAATACGGAAGAAGAGGAGAGAGCAACGACTTTCACAAATTACTCACCCTGCAAAATAAATTGTTACATTCCATACAACAAAAAAATTTAAATTCAACTGAAAAGACTTAACCTTTTTAAAATTTGTTAGAATAATTATGCAAAATTAGATGAATGTTGCTTTAAAAAAATGGTTAGATAAGTATGCAAAAAATAAAATTAAAAATTTTTAAGCTTAAACAATCATTTTAAAATGGTTAAATGAGTATGCAAAAAAAGATTAAAAATCACAAATTACGTACCCATGGATATTCACCCAGAAAAAAATCACAACAAAAATGTCAAAAGAAAACAATCATAAAAATTATGGATATTCACCCAGAAAAAAATAAAAAAACAGAAAAAAAAAAATCACAATGAATATTCACCCAGAAAAAAATCACAACAAAAATGTCAACAGAAAGCAATCACAAAAATCTATTACTCACCCATATGGATATTCAGCCAGAAAAAAATCACAACAAAAATGTCAACAGAAAACAATCACACAAAATATCAACAGAAAACAATCACAAATATCCGGAAAAAATCACAACAAAAAAACAAAAATGTCAACAGAAAACAACCACACAAAAGGTCAACCGAAAACAATCACAACAAAAAAATAAATCACTTTAGCTCAACAGAAAACAATCAAAACAAAAAAATAAATCACTTTAGGTCAACAGAAAACAATCAGAACAAAAAAATAATCACTCGGAATCATTTTACGTCAACAGAAAACAATCACAACAAAAAAATAATCACTCAGAAAACAATCACAACAAAAAAATTAACCAGTTTAGGTCAACAGAAAACAATCAGAACAAAAAATAATCACTCAGAATCATTTTAGGTCAACAGAAAACAATCACAACAAAAAAAATAATCACTCAGAAAACAATCACCACAAAAAGAAAACAATCACAACAAAAACAAAAACAATCACAACAAAAATAATAATAATCACTCAGAAAACGAGAAAACAAACAAACAATCACAACAAAAAAAATAATCACTCAGAAAACAATCATCACAAAAAAAAACAATCACAAAAGAAAACAATCACAAAAAAAATAATAATAATCACTCAGAAAACAAGAAAAATAAATTTATCAGAGCCAGGTTTCGATCCTGGGACCTGTGGGTTATGGGCCCACCACGCTTCCGCTGCGCCACTCTGATGGTGTTGAAAGTAAGGTAAACAAAAATTTAAAAGACTTCTTAACTCATATAAGTGATCTTTGGATCATGGTTTTGAAGCACAAATGAATTAGTGCTCCGTGTGGACTAGGATTGTAGTTTTTTATGGTTGGAGTACTAGACCGTCCAAGAAAAGTATTTCCTACCCGAAAGCTTAGTATTGGAAAAGTTGTAAATTGATCGTCTCAACCTCGACCATCATGAGTCTAGAAAAAAGCGACTTCAAGCCCAAAAAGTGATGTATTTTGTGGGAAAGATTTCTATACTTCCTTTATTGTATATAAGATATATACTTTCTTTATCCAACTGTCCAATTTAGATCACTTGCCGTTTGATTTAGATCCGATGCCTCAAAGTATTTTAATTTTAACTTTTTTTTATATAAATTGTATAAATATAAAACTTGGTATGCCCCATCATATCAATGGGGCACACTTAAAAAAATAAAAATAAAAAATTTGATAAAATACAATAATCAAAATACCCCTTTAAACTTTCAGAAGTATTTTGGTTATTTTATTTTATTAAGAATATTTTTTTTATATTTTTTATACCCATTATTTAGATTGTCTATTTCAAATGTGCTACATCTATCATATATGTGCTTCAATTCTATAGTCACAGGGGAACATATATTTTTCAAGCCATTTGCTAGGGTCTTGGGCACTAGAATTACATTTTTCGGAAGGTAAATTGTTTTGTATAGACTAGTCTGCTAGCCCGCATAAATCTCCACCGTCCAAATTGTTGGATGGTGGAGATTGCACGGATGCATAAAAACTGCGTTCTTTCAAAACAAGTTTTAAGGTGCGACTTTATCAACAACTCCACAAAGACCGTATCCTTAAGCTCTCCAATGAATATTTAAGGGAGAAGTTGGTATAGGGTCATCATATTTTGAAGTTGTAGCTCAAATCCCATCATGTTTTGATACCTGAAAATTTTCACATTGATTATCTTGATCTTGATAATTATGGATCTAACAGAAAATAATTTCATGTAACACATTGTTTTGGACAGTCAACGGCTCACGTATTAGCATGTACATGCCCTCACAAGAGCATAGTTTACGCTTACTCGTGCAAAAGAGCTACTTGGAAGGAAATTTTTTTTTAATTTGAAATTTTGGGTTCTATGTAAGAATCATCTGGTAGTTATTTTCAATAATAAAAAGAAATTGAGGCCTTGAGTTCTTCAATACTTAGCTCTCGTCGTATAAAATTAAACGGTCTCTATTCAATCTTGGGATGTTTATTTTTTCAGTCACATATAGTGTGCGATTCAATTCCTATTACTTTCCTTTTTCTTTTAATTAGATAGGAGGTTACATCCCAATATTTGGGTCCTCAAAATACTCCTAGATTGGGTTTTACCTGATGGAGTAAACAAGTCACTCCCATAGGAGCACAAAACCTCTTGGCTTCAAGTAATTCGGATATCTTGGGCCTACACCATCCATAAGGCTTCAAATTTTAATGATCATGAGTAAAAACATTGCAATATTATGAAAGCTTTTTAACATTAGAATTATAATTTTGGCAGGATTTTGAGGTGTGGCTTTACTTTTTGTCATAAAGCCTAGGCTTTAAAACAAGTACACCTAATTTGTAGGGCAATGATTTCATGCAACCGTTGTATAGTAATATGATGCAACAACCTTAAAAAACCATCTCATGGCCATTTGTTTAATCCAAAATTTGAAATATACGCTCTTTTTATTCTAATGAACAATCACAAAGAAAGAAAAAATTAAAAATACAATTTAAAAAGTATTTTTTTAGCCTAATTAACATATGCCATTTATTTTGGTAAGATACCTATATTTAGGCCTTAGAAGGATTTTTTTTCATTTCCAATTTTTTTGGATGGCTTTATTATCATTAGATAAACAATGTTAAAAAAGAAAAAAATGATTTTGAGTCTATAAAAGCTAAAATCTTGAAATTCGTAAAATTAATGGTCTAGATTCGTTTTTGGAGCGGATGCATTTTGCCCATATCTAGAGTTCAAATTTAACTTTTTTTTGGGGGGGTCATTGATTATTGAGATGAAGAGAGTATGTATGC